ACAATCATATGAACTTTATTTAGACTTGGCTGTGCTTTTATGTGTACGTGTTCCTATGGGTACATTTACCTGTTAACATGGATGTTTCTCAGTTGTTTGATCCAGTCTTTTGACAACAGACTCTTTCACTGAACCTGGAGCTCATCTGTTCAGCCAGGCTCCAGCGGCTCCATCTCCCAAGTTCTAGGGCTGGATATCAGCCACCATGTCAGGCTTTTTGTCCCCCCCCCCCCCACAAGGGTTCTGAGGATCCAAACTCAGGTGCGCATGCTTGCATAGCAAGCACCTTACCTGCAGCCACAAGCCACTGCTCTGTCCCTCAGCTTTAGTTCAGTGTGGCTTTCACTGTTGTTTGTTGTATTGCTCTTTAGAGTCCTTCTTTAGGAGATGTTTCTCAAGTCCCTGCCACTATGCATTTTCTCAACAAAGACCAGATGTCATGACAGGAGGAGCAGAGTAGGAAGGGAGTGTTTTCAGTGCTGTGGAGCCTGCTGCAGACATTAGATTTAATGTGTGATAACCATGGTGGAATCCCAGGCGTGCCTTCCTTGCTGCATTGTTTCACCTTTTAAAGTTCCAGTTATATGATAAGCATCAGACATGCAACAGAATCCACTGCAGGGGCCTCAGCAAACAAACAGGATTGCCTTTGTGAAATTTCTCAGAGCTCTGCAGTACTTCTCAGACAGGTAGCATCATTGTCAGCAACAATCTTGCTAGAAATGCAGAGTGCCAGACCCCTTCCTGCTGGGACTTGAGAAGTCCTACCTTATGGGATGTATGCTTGTTTGAAGCCCCCTGAATAATGTTTATTTTATGGTAAAGTTGTTAAACTGGACATAGTGGATCACAACTGTGGTCCCAGCACTCTGGAGCCTGAGGTAGGAAGATTACCAAGAGTCCATGGCCCACCTGGGCTACAAGGTGGGTTCCAGGTCAGCCTGAGCTACAGAGCAGCAAACATACAGTTAAATGCAGTAAAACACTGTGGACAGAAAAAGGACAGTATTCTTAAAGTCTATATATTACAATATTATTTTGGGAATTCTATGGCGGGGGTCAGAAAAGGGTAAACAACTGCACAGATCTGTTTGAAGATGATCCTAAGAGCTCTGATAGTTTGGTATTACCTGTGGGTTGCCTTTAAGCCTGTGGAGTAAATAGTCAGAGGCTTGAGGGCAGGAGAAGATAATTTGTGTAAACACCAAGTGCCACCTGCATTGATGGAAACATTTCAGTCAGTTTTGTTTTCACTTAAAAATAGGCTGTGTTGAACAACCAGGGAAGATGGAGAACAGTGAGGATATTAGTAGGACCCATTTTACCTCTTACCCATTGGTTCTTCATTTGGGAATCAATGAACAAAAGATGTTTACCCTACTGAAGTAAAAATGAAAAAAATTTTTTTTTCTCAAATGAAAAGGAGGAAAAGTATGTAGGGTTTGATTTAAAAAACAAAATAACAAAAACAAAGAAAACAAGCAAATAAAAAAACCAATAGACTGCCTTCTCTGAAATGCAGGGAGTATCAACATAGGTGCAGATCCCTGATGTTTGAAACAGTGAGCAGAATCTGGCTCAGGTTCATGTGGATGGTCAAGGGTATTTCTTCACTTGTCCAAAGTGGATGATAAATTTAAGGTTAATTCAACACCAGGTGTGTCTCCTGGCCAAGTTCCCTCTCCCATATTTCCTTACAGTCATCATGCTGAGAAAACAAATAACATTAGGCTCTCGGAGATGAATGAGAACAGGGTATTAATGGTCATTCTCAATGTTTGTGGCTTTTCTCTCTATGATTGAGGAAAAGGGATATTTTCCCAAGCTACCTGCTTTATGGGGAGTGTAGAGTCTAAGGCAGTGGATTAAGCAGGTGCCACTGCAGGAACAATCTGACCCTGTAGAAAGCACCAGTGAGCATTCTTTCAGATGTTTTTCTAAAAGCACCTGTGAACAAAAACTTGAGATGCAAGACTTAAGGAAGTCAATAGTAGAATAGGTAAGGTAGTCAGAATTGGTAATCTATTAAATACTCAGAGCCCAGTGCAAGTGTACGAAATTAAACCAAGTTCTTGGATTTAAGAGGATTGTATAATAAAGGCCTCAAGGGAAGTTTAATTCTATCAACCTGTTCAAGTAGATTCACTTGAACATGACCTCCTAAAAAGAAGAGAGGCATGGACGGGTTGTACTCATTATTAATGCTCCAGAGTCTTGAATTCTACTGGGCCATGAGAAAAATAGAACCATTCCTTGCAAAGGAACAGTCAGAGAAAGAGATGGACAGCACATTCCAGCATTAGGGAATGTGAAGGTGGCTTATTCATCAGTTCAGAGAACTGTCAAAAAGCAGATCCAGAGCTGGAAGAACATGTGGAGCCCAGTGAGCAGTCCAAATGTGAGAACAAAGAGAAAGCATGGAGGCAACTGTTTCAAAATAGAGAAGGTGCAGTCTTGGTGTACCCAAAGCTTAGTCTAGCTATAGAATGGTCTGATGGCTATAGGAGATGAAATGATAGACAAAGGTATCATTCCATTCTTCTCTACCCTTTCCTCAGGAATGTGGAGCCTTTACAGAGACTGACTTCTAGTGACTAGAATGTGGTGAAATTTGTGACGGATAACCCAAAATGGGCCTTGCGAGATTTAAGTTCTTTTCTGTTCTCCTTTGGAACACCCTATATGGCTGAGTCAACTGCCATGTTGTTATGCTTACACAGCCTTTGCAGAGGACCTTGTGTGGTTCCAGTGAAATTCAAAATTGAGTCAGATGACTGCAGCCTCCACCAGTGTCTTGTCTTATGTCTTGTTTTATAGAGCTGGAGGTGAAAGCCAGAGTTTCACACATGCTAGGTGTGCCAGGATCTATACTCACATCCTGCTGCCTGTGTGTTTGAAAAACATTTATGGGTTTTCAGACAAGCTTTGTTTTAGAGTATCCCATCATACCACAGGACCCTGCTGCTTTTTGACAAGAGTTGTGTGGCATTGGGCCTCTTCATCTGTTTTTCCTAAATCTGGTTTGTAAAGGCAAGCAAGGATGGTCAGAACACAGAGGAAGACTGATGGAGTAATCTTTCTAGGTCTCATTCCTCTGGTGTTCTTTAAGGTAGACTTGCTCGAGGTTGAGACTAGCTCCCATCTCTAGCAGACCCAGAGGTTAGCTCACATGATAGAAGCAATTGTTAACCCTTACCAGCATGTTCTAGCCATCCTGTTAGGGGAAGTTCTCCACAGGGACTGGCCAGACAGAACAAGGAAGACATTACTGCAGATCACCAGGGAAACTGGCAGTGGGCCTCCATTTCTGCTTTGCTCATGAATCTTATTCTCATCTTTTCTCGTGGTGTGTATATTTTTTATTTATTAACGATTACAATACTGTTGGCTGGCCCAAGGCCTCCCACACAGATGAGCTGGTCCTGCCCTGGTTGAGTTTCTGTTTCTGGGGCTCCCTTCATAAAGTCCCCAGATAATGCCACTGCTGCTGGTCTGGGAACCACTGAGCTCTGCCATCTCTAGGCTGCATGTAAAAAGGGGCTCAGAGGTACAGGGTTGTAGCTCTTGTAATGTGGCACAGACCAAAGTATAACATTATTTTTAAAACACTTTACAAAACTTATGCTGTCGGGGTTGGAGATTTTGGTCAGTGGGCTCGTTTCTCAGCTCTGGAGAAAAGAAGGGAGGAAGTGGGGAGAGGGTGGGGGCAAGAAATCAAGCAGGCTAGCTGTCAGTCAAGCTATATAAGGCTTATATGAAACATAAATTAGTGTTTCAGACTTGGGTCACATCCCCAAACTATTTCAGTGTATATGCAAATATTCCAAATTAAAAAAAAAATCCAAAATGTAAACACTTTGTTGAGAGACAATTGAGGCCTATAACATGAAGTTATGTCTACTGGTATAGATTGTTCATTTCATATGCCTGAGGAAACTCTTCTCAGTTTGAATTAAAAACACTCCAGACTCCTTGGCACTCCTGCTTAGCATGAGTTGATTGTATGTCCTTGACTTTAAGGTTTCTGCTCAAGAAACCCATGAAATTAAAAATTCCCTTTCCCACTGCATCATTTTACTGCTTGTACTGTAAAAAGCCCCTACATGTCATGGTATCAAATTAAGGATCTGATTAAAAGCATATTTCCCTGTTCAGAAAGTCATTTTGTTAACAAACACCAGGCATATCATATGCCTACTACAGCCATCCCAGTTACTGCCCTTAAAAACAAGGCTGCTTTGTCTTGGTTGATTAAAGAATCATCCAAGTATCACAGTCTAGCTAGTGCCAAGCTGATCCAGGAAGGACACCCCATCTTAGCTCAGAATGTTAATAGTGAGAAGCCTAGGACTAAGGCATAACCCCTCTAAAGAGAACCCGGAAGCTGGGCGAGGTGGCGCCCACCTGTGATCCCAGCACTCAGGAAGGCAGAGTCAGGTGAATCTCTGTGAATTGAAGACCAGCCTGGTCTACAAAGTGAGTTTACAGAGTGAGTCCAGAACAGCCAAGGCTACACAGAGAAACTCAAAAAAAAAAAAAAAAAAAAAAAAAAAAAAAAAAAAAAAAAAAAAAACACAGGGGAGGGAGAGAGAGAGAGAGAGAGAACCTGGAGCCATTGGGGGAGGGTTGGGTGCTCCAGCTTGTGTCATTGTACTCAGTTGTCTGATGACTGCCTAGTGACCTTAGTGCCAGTATGTACAGGCAGTGCCTGCATGACAGCCCTTTGAGTAATTCCCAGTTTGTCAGAAAATAATTTGGGGAAATGGAAATTTCAGGGTTCTTCTGCCTCAAGGTTAACCCAGCTGTTGTTCTCTCTATAATGAGTTCCTACATGTCAGAGACCCAGAGTGCATTTATCCTTGAATCCACGTGAAGCAGAATTTCATTTTATTTGATGTGAACCTGGGAGCCCTGGGCTGCTGGATGAGTGCCTGTTCAGGCAGACCCTGTTCTCTGTAGGTACCTACCCTGCTGTTAACTCCCTTCTGCTTCCTCCCCAGCCCAGTGACTTCTCCGTGTCTCTCAAAGCATCAGGGAGGAACAAGCACTTCAAGGTGCAGCTGGTGGACAGCGTCTACTGCATTGGGCAGCGGCGGTTCCACAGCATGGACGAGCTCGTGGAGCACTACAAGAAGGCCCCCATCTTCACCAGCGAGCATGGGGAGAAGCTCTACCTCGTCCGAGCCCTGCAGTGAAGCAGCCATTGGCCTCCCATGCCCTGCCCACTGTGGGCCTCGCTGCCACCTCCGCCTCCCAGAGTCCAGCGCTGCCGGCCACCTCCACCCATGTGGCCTGGATCACCTCTGTAGCCCAGTCAGTCCTTCTCAGCCCTGTTGGTCAACCATAGCTACCCAGGCCCTCACAGCCATGCCATGGCTACCACCTTCCGGCTACCTTCAGGTGGTGAGGGTCAAAGGGAGCTAAGCTGCTCACTTTTTTCCTTTTTTAATTGAAAACAGTTTGTTTAAATCCTACACACACACACACACACACACACACACACACACACACACACGCACGCACGCACAGCAAAAGACTGGAGCTTATTTGGAGGGCAGTGAGGCTATATGTAGTGAATATGTGACCTTAGCACACGCTCCGAGAGCTGTGTCCACGGGTATTTGGTGCCTCCCATCAGCTATGCTGGTCCAGGCCAGCCTGTGTCCTGGGCCTGCTTTTTTGTTGTTGATTTGTTTCATTATTGTTGTTGGTTTGTTTTTTTGTTTTTGGTTTTTTTTTTGTTTTGTTTTGTTTTGTTTGTTATTGTTGTTTGGTTTGGGTTTTTGCTGCCTGGCTCCAGGCTCTGCAGGAGTCCAAGAATGTGCGGATAGCAATACTGGAAACCCTGGGGAGGTAGTCGTGAGGGAACTGCCCAGTGCCTTTAAGGCTGTGCTTGCAATAAAAGAGGGCTTTTGTGAGAGTCCTCTGCAAAAGAGGGAGCTGGCAACACAGAAAGAAACTCTGGTAATGTACCCCTAGGTGTGCCATCCACATAGTGCTTTTTCCCTCTTGCCCTTCGGCTTGTTTGAATTTCACAATTATGTATTTAATTCTCAAAGTAATATGTATCTGTAGCTGTTTGTTGACACTAATAACATGATTAAGAAAAACAGCTGATCTCTTGGGAAGGGGAGCTACCAATACTTTATATATACATTATATATATATATATATATGTATGTGTGTGTGTATATATATATATATATATATATATATACACACACATATATATACTATTTGCTTTACAGGGAAATTTTTCAGGGTTTACAGAATATGTGATTGGTAGTAACAGAATGTTTATGAGGAAATTGCATTTTTCTTTTTCTTTACATTTGAACTTCTTTATAGTTTGACTATAGAGTCTTGAGATGGCACATTCCTACAATTGAAGAAGGGGTCTTGAGATCCCTTAAACTTGCATACCCAGTTTTTTGAATATTGTAATAAAAAAGTATTATGACAAGGCTGTGTGTTTGTGTTTTGGGAGACCTGACTCTCTTCTAGGGAAGAAACAGCCACAGGAGTCACGGAAAACTCATCACCAAAAGAAGATGACTTATTTGCAGTGCCTGCTGTGGCCAAGCATGAGTTCAGATCCTCGGCACCCACAGAAAACCAGGTGTTGGTCACATGTGTCCTTAGCATTCCAGGTCACCCAGAGCTTGCTGATTAAGCGTTCTTTCCAGTCCATGTGTGCGGAGCTCAGTGAGAAACCCTACCTCAGAAGAGAAGAGTAGATAGTGGAAGACACTTGGCCTTCAATGTACATAGACAGGTGCACATATTCGCACATGTCACATGAGAGTGCTTTCAGAAGAGCTTAGAACATCGATTACTTGAATGTTTTGTTTTCCTACACTTATTTTAGTAGTAGTGGAATGCATGAAGCAGGGCTGTATGCATGTAGAAGTCAGAGAAGTTGGTTCTGTCCTCCCACTCTTACATGGGATCTAAGGATCAAACTTCGGTCATCAGGCTTGCAAAACAAGTACAGTTGCCTGCTGAGGCATCTCAGCAGCACCTGCTGTCCACATTGTGTGGTGAAATACTAAGCCCTGAGGAGAACTCCAGGGGAACCCAATACATCAAGCTTGATGTTTTATCTTTGGAACACAGTGGTTTCTTTTTTATTTTATTTTATTTTTATTAATTACAGTTTATTCACTTTGTATCCAAGTTATAGCCCCCTCTTTCATCCCCTCCCAATCCATGAGCAAACAGGACACAGAGACCCTCTCAAGCCCACCTTTCCTCCTTCTCCTATGCTGCTCCCCCAGTCCAATGATAGGGAAGGTCCTCTTCCCCTTCCATTTGATTCTAGTCTGTCAGGTCTCATCAGGGCTGGCTTCATTGTCTTCCTCTGTGGACTGGAAAGGCTGTTCCCCCCCTCAGGTGGAGGTGATCAAAGAGCCAGCACTGAGTTCATGTCCCTGTTCCTATTACAATGAAACCCACTTGGATACTGAGCTGCCATAGGCTGCATCTGTGCAGGGGTTCTAGGTTATTTCCATGTGTGCTCCTTGTTTGGAGTATCAGTCTCACAAAAGACCCCTGTGCCTGGATTTTTTGGTTCTGTTGCTCTCCTCATGGGGCTCCTGTTCCCTCCAGGTCTTTCTATCTTCCCCTTCTTTCCTGAGATTCCCTGCACTCTACCCAAAGTTTGTCTGAGTCTCAGCATCTGCCTTGATACCCTGCTGGATAGAGTCTTTCAGAGGCCCTCTGTGGTAGGCTTCTGTCCTATTCCCTGTTCTAGTGGTTTTAAAGTGTATAGTTTACTGCATTGTTAGAGCAAGAATCCTCTAGCTGTCTTCAGAAACCGTGTGGTCTCAACCAGTGTGTAATGTTCAGTTCTTTACTTTGCCGTATGTAGGAGTGTGTCTTCTGTGCTGGCTTGGTGTCATTAATTGTCACAACCCTGTGAGGTGGCTCCACCGCAATAGCCCATTTTAGAGTTGAAGACAGAGGCTTAAAATCAGCTCATACAGTGCATGGCTACTCCATGGATGAACAGGAACACTGAAACTGGACTGTGCCCTAACAACCCCATTCTTTTTATTATGTATCATAGTCACTTGAAGATGTATGGCTGAAGTTGGGTCAACTGCTTATAGTGAGTAGACCCATTCAGGTGAGTGACACAGGTCATTACAATAGACATCTGTTCTCTTCCTTACCTGTAGAGATGGCAGAAGTTACTGTGGACTGTCATGCCTCACCTGCTCCGTGTTACAATTTGGCCTTCTATGTTTATGTCTCTAGTAAGTGAGCGCACAGCAAATCAGGGAGAAACAAGTCATTGAAGAGCAGAAGATGCAATCTAGAATTTCTGGGGTATCGTAAGGCTCAGTGTCACTGTTGACAGCTGTCTTTGGTATTGTCACACACTGTGACATATGAGTGTGAGTCATATGGCTGCTTAAGGCAGGATTAGCCCAGGGGATGGTGTTTCATATAACGTGCAGATGCTATGTCAGTGCCACTGTGTGTCACAGAGTCTAGGAGTCTGCTCACCATTTTCCTGAGTTGGTGGTCCTCTGTCTTTCGTTAGTGGCCACCGTACACTGTAGTGTGCCCTTTACCTGGTGGTGTTAGAGCTAGTGCAACCTAGAGTCATTGACTCCTCAGAAAGAAAGAACTGCTCTAGCCAACTCTGAGAGCCCCTCTTTCCTTAAAAGTCCAAGACCATTAGGCCTCACAGTACCATAAAACACCCACCTTACCAGAGCTTGACAAACTATATTTTGAAAAGTTATTCTCTTTGAGACATTTTGACTTTCTCCTGTTGAGAGAAGAACAGTCTCCACCTGAAGATGGAGCAAAAGTTCAGTATTGGTGCCAGTGACTAAAAATGAAGACTCCATCCCTAGATTGTATTCCTGTTGTTCTGAGGATCCTGGCATTGTCCTTTTAAGAGCAGTTCCTTCAACTATTAGGCTTCTGGTTCACTACTAGCTTTGCTTCACAGCAGTACCTCAGCCACTCTAATCCTAAGGCAGGAAACATTTATGGGTTTTAGTTGAGGTCCATGCTTGGTTTGCACTCAGGGCCTTGAACGTGCCAAGTACACAGTGCCAATGAGCTAGACTACCATTTTGGTTCTGGAGGTCATATTTAAGGTGTTTGGCACAATGCGTACTTGCCCCCAGACATCGTCTTGCTATGTGGTCCAGGCTGACCATGTGATCCTCTTGCTCAGCTTCTAAGTGCTACTTCACGGATTGTAGCTCTCCACACCCGGCTTCTCATTTGCATTTTTTGCAGGCTTCTAGCCATTGTAAGTGGGTCTACCCTACATTTGGGGTCTGTTGTAGCCTGCTTGAAACTTAGGGAAGATCACCTGCCCTCCACACATACACATTAACTATTCTCAACATATCTTGTAAAGCACATCCTTCAAATCACAGTACAGCTTCCAGACAGAAGCCTAGCCTAGTTATTTTCACATCAACTTGTTATAAGCTACTGTCGTTTGGGAAAGGGGAACCTCAATTGAGAATATACTTCCACCAGGTTGGCTTGTGAACATTTTCTCAGTGCCACCCATGGGCTGGTGATCTGGGTGCTATAAGAAAGGCTGAGCAAACCAGTAAGTAGTGTTCCTCCTTTGCCTTTGCTTCAGTCTCTGACCCTAGGTTCCTAACTTCTGCACCTACCCTGACTTCCCTACAAAGTGGACTACAACTGCAAGATGAAATAAACCCTTTTCTCCCCAGTTGCTTGTGTTTGTGGTGTTTTATCACCATAATAAAAATCCCAATTAAAACAGCACATTCTCAAGAAGGCTGCCCCTTGACACTAAATGGGTGATTCCTGAAAACAGATGTGCCTGATGCTTTTGACAGCTTTTACAAACATAATCTAGGAACTGGAGAGATGACTCAGTAGTTAAGAGCACTTGTTCTTGGAGAGGACTGGGATTAAGATCCTGTACCCACAGCTATCAGTAACTCAAGTTCCAGAGGGGTCCAAGGGCCTCTTGACAATCTGGAGGCACTAGGCACACATGGAATACATGCAAGCAAAACACTAAAATTTCTGAAACTGAAACACTACCTACTGTGCTGATAAAGCACTCAAAATACTCTAGAACACTCAAGTTTTAAGATCTTTAAAAAGATGATTGATAGATGATATATTAGATGGATGGATGGGTGGGTAGCTGAAAGATTACTTCTCCCAGAGATAGGTATTAGATGATCAAATTTTGCATTCCAAGGAAGGAACCACAGCACCAGGTCTTGTCCAACAATATGAGACCTTCTAAACTTAATGACCTGAGAAAGGCCCAAGTCTAAAGAGCTAATGGTCTTGCATGAAGCACATGTCTTTCTCTGGTGGTAAAGGAATTGCTCACTTAGAAATCCACCAAGTCATGCCCTTACCTGTGGTGTAGATTCCAGCAGGTTCCAAACTGCTTCAGTAGCCTGAAGATCACTGGTGCAGCCCTGCATGCTTTATGGCAACAATATAAAGACAGCCTTATACATTTGGATGAGCCTAACTGCTTTGTACACTTTTTATAATATGTACAGACTTAGAACCATTGTTCAACTTTTTAACTGGTTTAATAAAAAAGGAAAAAAGTATACATAATAAATTATTACCCAATTGAAATTATAAAAGGTGACCTGCGATTTCAGACCACATGTGCTGATGATAATATAGAGTATGAAAATGATCTCATTTTGGAACTTCCATCTAGTCACAGATGCCAACAAGTTTTATTTCTACAAGTGCTTTGGCATTCTCATTTAAAAAAAGTAGTAACAAAGTCATAACACTGAAGAAATGAAACTAAAATATTTGCCTAATCAGATTCTTAATGTCCACATACCAGCCATCAAAATCATTCAAATCCTATTGCAATGTTTTCTGGGTATCACAGTCAGGACCATAACCTTTGGTAAGATGGTTTTGAAGCTTGTCACTGCACGTGGTCTGCCTGTGCAGCATGTGCCTGAAGTTGTCAATTCTACAAAATCTTCAGTCTTGCTTCTCATCTTCAACTTCAGATAGAGATGGTGGTACTGTGTACAAAGATTTTCAGAAACTATGTCAAGAAATGAAAGGTGTGAATTATCCAAATGAAAAATAAACACAAAAGCTGGTTTCATTTTTTTAAATAACATGAACCAGATAGATTGAATAACTACAGATGTTCTTGTACTATGGTGGAAAACCATCAGAAGATCTGCTCCAGACTTTGTTTTCCTAGTGGAATTATAGAATAACTTTATCTTTAGTCAGAATTTTCACCCAAACACTAATTGACATAATTATCAATTTGAGACTGAGATGAGATCTATTAATAGCAGACTCCATCTAACCCAGATCATGGAGAAAGCCAAGACGGTCCTACTACACCAGGACCTGCTTCCTTGCTCTGCTTTTCTTTCCCCACTCGTGCTTACCAACATCCACAGATTTGATCACTGACTTACTACAGTGGCTCTTATTCACTCA